AGGAAGCCACGAATGACGAGCTCGGGCTCTGAGGCAGTCATCCTGAGCTCTGGCACTGGCGAAGGCACCAGGCTGACCAGCGTGCTCTTAGACGAGCCTCAACGCTGCTCTTTTTATTTCTGCCTCCACACTCTAGCTTCCTTGATTCTACCCATGTGTCTGTCAGGCCAGCAGGTTTGGTAAGCTGGGGAACAGATGCAACAAAAGGAGTAAGAATCTAGGTAGGTGGTGCAATCTGCAGAGAGTGCTTGTGTATTTGCTGTGTCAACCCTAAAGCTCTTCCTCACGTGGACAGAGAGACTGGGAATGGTCTCAGGTCCGTTCGAAGTGCATGTCGTGCTTCTCTGTTGTGAGGGAGGCATTGTTATCAGAGATTAGTCTTTTTTATTGAAGGTGTGACTGAGCTCTCTCCCTCAGATCTTCACAGTAAAGTGAAAATGATACAAAAAAGAATTATAAGGTCAAGGCAGGGCAAACAACATGGAAGCCAGTGAGTGAAGAGGGTAGATAAGTAGGTTTATAGGTGGGAATCTTGAAACACACACTGAGCGCTTTCATGCGTTTACTCCACTAGTATTTCTCACGGGGCAGTAGTGTATGCATTGCTGCCTTCCGAGGGGCAGGGGGTGTAATGTTGAGTAAGACCAAGTCCCTGCTTTGGAGGCACTTAAAATCTAGTTAGAGTGGTCAGACATGTCAACAAATTATTGCAAGATTACTTATCTGAGGGACCTTCAGACCATGACCAATACCAGCTCTCACGAAAATTCCAGAATGCACCCACTTTGCCCTCTAACATATTTCTTCATTTTCCTCAGTCATACTTGTTTGACTTAACTTCTCCATAAAGGTTTTTAAGGTTTTATAGCTTATCATAAGCTTTTTTTTTTTTTCAAATAGATCATATTCCTTTATTCACATGCTACAGACCTCCTATGTATCCAACTTGTTCTGTTTCTTTCGTTACCAAATAATGGAAGAGACCAAGTCTTCTAATTTATATTAAATAGAAATAACAATGTGTCTGCAGATATTGACCTAAGAGTAGAATCTGCTATCTTCGGTAATTCATATCCTTTCTCTCTGAAGAAAGCCTTACTTAACAAACATGATACACTGAGTACTAGTTTTCATTAAAGCTGGGCCTAAGATTATTAACCAAAGAAGAAGAAAAAGAGTTATATAAACAATGGTCTATTTAATGCCAAGGTTTCACCATTTTATCTCCTACCTCTATGTGGACACAGAGTTAGCCAATTAAATAGCCTTATAAATCTTAAAGGATAATTGGAGAGGAATAAAAATAATTTCAGATGTAGGTATATAGTAAGAAAAAGAGGTTATTTAGTATAAAGAAAGAAGAAACAAATCTTAAGGGGTCAAAAATTACTCCCTAAAAGGGATGATAGGGCCTAACCTTCTCCAGAGTTTGGTTTTAGAACAAAACCTTACTGGGTTAAACAAAAAACCCTGATGAAGGCTACATACAAGTCATGCTTTGAGGAAAAAAGAAAAAAAGGACTTACTTCCTTTTTCTAAAATGATTCCTTTATAAAAAATTGCCAAACACTTATTACCACCTTAATTAAAGCTTTGGAAGGTCTTGGAGATTTTTCAGAATTGTGATAGTAATCTTTGTAAAAATTTACAAAGGTAGTTATATATGCTAGCTGTACAGGAACATGGCACTCAGTGAACAGTGAATGTATAAATAGCAATTCATGGTGGCTACATTTAAGTTATAAAATCACTTCTCTAATAAAAGTATGAAATACATAAGTATGCCTCATTAATATTTCCTTTCTAGAGCCCAATTAAAAAAATATACATATATATAGATAGATAGATAGATATAGATATATAGATATATAGATATATAGATATGATAACTAGTACTTGCTTGCTCTATCTCTCACTTTGACTATTAATGCCTATGACAAAAAGTCAGAGAAGCCTGTGTTCTGGGTAGGGGATTGGAAACTAATTGAATAACCAGCATATTTCTCTTCTCCAAGTTCTTCCAAGGGCAGATCCTACCTACCCAAGAGGAAAGATGGATTCTAGTGGTACAAATCGGAGTGCTCCTCCACACCATCAAATACTGCACACTGATACCTATATACTTCCTGTGTAATAACCAGGTCGCGCCCTTAGCCTCATGTGGCAACAAAGCAATGTGGATGTGTTACAACATCCTACAGTGAGATCTGAATGTACTTGAGGGAGTTCAGGAGCAGTAAGAGTGGTGCAATACATACCACAACTCAGACCCCATGCAAAGTCAGTCCTCTATCCCTTTGATTGAAGGAGCTTAGCTATTTGAAAAGCCAAAATGCGAAAGTAACAACTACAGGGACCTGCAATGAATTAGAATATCCTGCTAGAAAGGACCTGGCTGAAATGGTTTCATATGCCAGACCAGATGCCACTGAAATACTGTTTGACAAAACGAAAATAACAGCTTACATCAGGCTGCTGAGTCCTCCCCACGGAGCACACACAACAATCTTCGTCATGGGGTTCAGAAGACTCTGGCAGAGGTAATCTCTCTAGACCAGCTGCCTAATTCCAGCAAGGCCTGCACATGCACCATTCCAGAAACACCAGTGTCTGCTACTAACGGAGATGCTAGAGCCTTCTTTTAGGGGGGGAAAAAAAGAGTCCATTCTAGCACCTGACTCCTGACACTGGCTGCAGCTTCTATGCATTCACTCAGTCTCCATTTGCTAAGGGCTTATTGGAAGGTATTCAAACCAGAGGAATTCCCAGTGAAGAGAAGGAAACAGCAGAATTACCATCAGTAAAGAGAATAACAAAAGATTAAAATATTTTCTTTTTCCAATAAAAATCAATGAGTAATTACAATGGGAAACCAATAGCAATAAAAACATATGTAAAGCAGGAATATCTTTTACAAAAAATGTGCAAGATCTACATGGAAACATCTAATATATAAATAAGAACCTTTTAAGGTTAATTTATATTGGAATTATTTAATTTTTATTTTGAAAATCCCAAAAGAATTTATGGGATGAGGAATTGATGGACTGATTATAAAATCACCAGGAAAAACAACCTGATGAAAATAGCTAAGAACATGGTTAAATAAAAAAAGAAGGGGAGGAGAACAGAGATTTGCTTTACCAGATCCTGAAGTGCATGATAAAACCTCAGTGATTAAAACAATGTACACTAGCCCTAGCCAGTTTGGCTCCGTGGATAGAGTGTCGGCCTGCTGACTGAAGGGTCCTGGGTTTGATTCCGGTCAAGGGTACATGCCCAGGTTGCGGGCTCGATCCCCAGTAGGGGGTGTGCAGGAGGCAGCCAATCAATGATTCTCTCTCATCATTGATGTTTCTCTCTCTCCCCTCTCCCTTCCTCTCTGAAGTCAATAAAAATATATTTTTAAAAAATAATAATAAAAAACAATGTACACTGGCACAGGAAGACTCAGTCATAACCTGGTTGGTGGGCAATCCAGCAGTCAACATCAAAACCATATCAACTTGTATACCATTAATTCCACAATTATAACCTTACCCTAAGGAAATAATTATGATGTTGGACAGAGATTTATCTACAAGGTAAATTAAGGAAGCATTGCTTACATTAGCAAAATACTGGGAAGAACCTAAAATAGGTGATTGGTTATATGAATTATGGCGCATTCATATGATGCAATACTGGGCATTCTCTAAAAGTCATGTTAGGAAAGGAGATTTAATTGGAAAATGTTCCTAACGTAACTTAAAAAGAAGATTCAAACTATTTACTATATGATCTGATGTTAATTTGTAAAAGTATGCACAGAAGTCTAGATAAATATATAACTTAGCAGGAATGTTAGCAGTTACTGCTGCAAGGTCTATTACAGGTGATATTTTTTTTACTATTCCCTGTGCTTTTCTGAATTTTTGAATTTGCTACACTAAACTAGATTTTTAAAGTTATTTTCCAAAACCAATTGAAAAGATACATTTCCAAGGTCCCTTGATTTCCTCTGGCTGCTAGATTCATGGATGATTTAATTTTTAGTATGATTTTTCTATATTTCTCAGAAACTTCTACAAGATTAGTTTTTGAAAAAAAAAGAAACACACCATCTCCTCACCAAGGGCGTTTCCTTAGGAGGCTGGACCCACAACATTAGTTAAAATGCAGAGAAGCCAGGGCCCAGCATCCACAGCAACACTAAACGGAGCCCTCCACCCAGGAGCAGGTCTGTGCTGGGCTCCGGGTTCCCAGCACCTAACACACAGCCTCTTTGGCGGTCACGGCACCTAGTCCACTGAATGGAAAATACCAACTGCCTCCACCATTCTAGGTCTTTTCTTTTCTCTTCCCATCAATGCCAGGATTATTTAAGTGGTACATTGAACACAGTATCCTCAGAGTGGAGTCCTGATGAGCACCAATTATTCAGAATCTCTAAAGTGCCACAGAAAAGATTCAAAGAGAAAAAAATCCCAGTTAGAAGTTGTGTTTTTCTAAATTGCTATTTTTTTTTTGAGAGCTATGCCAGTCTTTGTCATATGATGTTAAGGTGAAAAATGGCTCACATGTAGTAGCATTTAGCAAAGCAGGGCTCTTTGATAGCACTCAGTTACTAAAACCAGGGAGACTAGAACAGCAGTTGTTCAACTGACCTCAAAACCCTAAAATCTTAAGCAACCACACTAATAAGGGAGAAGTGCCCGACAGCTTTAATCTCCTCCCCTGGACTGCAGCAGCCAATGCTTGGCTAAATTAAGTAAATTTAAGTCCTTACTTCCTTCTCTTCTGTTCACAGGCTCTAGGCTAGAGGAAGAATTATCAAGACTTTAAAAGACCAAATTCCAAAAATGAAAGGACAATAAGGAAACTAGATAAGTAACCCTTCAACGAACAAAAGTTGACTAGTCATACAGAAGCAGCCTGAATTATAAGCAGCCTGCCCTGACCAGTGGTGACTTCAAATCCAGTTTTCTAGAACTTTTGCCTCCACAGCCACCTGTGCATACCTTGATTTCAGACTCAGCATATTAACTGGAACTCTCTGCGTCTTGCTCACGGACAATCTACATTTCTCTAAGGTGGGGACCATGATGATTTAATATCCCAGTATGAACTCATTTAACACCTGTGCGGAGCACAAGGTCTTGGGCCACTGTTGGTAGAAAACAAACATCTTTGAGCTACTATAATAAATGATAAAATTGACATTCCGGTGGCATTCCTGCAGAGGCGCAAGGCACAAAGCTGTAGTAGCCTAAGAGCCCTATGGGGAGGGATGAAATTTCAATCATTAAAATAAATGCCTAAGTAAACTGTTAGAGGGGAGAAGGAAGACTAGAAGAATTTTCAGCAGAAAAACTCCCGATTTACCCAGTTCACTCCAAAGGCAGGAAGATGGGAGAGAATCTAAAGATGGAAAACGAAAGCTAGGTTCCCTTTCCTCCTTCAGAAGAGACACTTTTGAGTTTCCAGTTCATGATATATAAAGCCCTAAAGCATAAAGGAAGCTCAGACTTAAAAAAGCTCTGACTTAAAACATGTGCAACCGAGAAATGAAACGGGAAGAAGAGATGGGGAGAAACACGTGTCCAGCAACACACTTGCTACCCGCCCCCCCCCCCGCCCTACACACACACACACACAATGGAATAATACTAAGCGTTTGCCCTGTTCCGAGATTTGCCTTCCTAGTGAGGGTCTGGTCTGCCCTTTCCCTGACGAGACATGTCACTCAGGTCCTGACCTTCACAGTCAGGCTCCCTCGTCAGAGGGTGGGCACGGTATGGTACGCCATCTTCTCGTTCCTGCCAGGCACCCAGAAAGCCAGTCCGTTTGGACAGGGAGCCCGCACTTCACAATGAAGGGAGCTCGGCAGCTAGAATGAGGGTTGTTCAGTGACGTTAGCCCGGAATGGACACGAGAATCACCTGAGAGCTTTTTTTTTTTAAAAAAAAAAAAAAAAAGGCTAGTGGACAGTCTCAACCCAAACCAATTAAATCAGAATTGTTAGGGGTGAGGTCTGTGTGTGTTTGTTTTTTAAGTTGCACAAAGAATTATCATGATTTTTCTGCATAGTAAAAGCAAGTGTTTATGTTTCTTTGTTGTTGTTGTAAAAAGTCTACTAGAGATAGATTTGCTTTAAAATATCCCATGAAGAGGGGTTGTTTTAGTTATACAAGATTGGCAAAATATTGATAACTGTTGAAGCTGGGTGATGGGTACATATGAGTTGATTACATTATTTGCTCTATTTTTGTAAATTTGAAAAATTCTATAATAAAAAGTTACTTTATAAAATTAGCAGAAACAACAATTTGTTCTCTTCCTCCCAAATGTATAACTATATAAGTATAATGTATTTAACATGAAAAATAATGATTAAAACACTACAATAAAAGTTTTGCAAGTGATTCTAATGTGCAACCAGAGTTGAGAGCCACCAGGCTGTGTCCTTGAAGGATGGGCACACCTGCTGTGGAAAATGAAGATGTAAATACGCAGCACAAGGCAATCCCGGTGAGAGAGCAACTAAGGCCTGTGGCAAGACGGAACCCAGTGAGGGTGGAAGGCTCCTTTACAAGGCACTAATCCAGTGGTTCTCAACCTTCTGGCCCTTTCAATACAGTTCCTCATGTTGTGACCCAACCATAAAATTATTTTCGTTGCTACTTCATCACTGTAATGTTGCTACTGTTATGAATCGTAATGTAAATATCTGATATGCAGGATGGTCTTAGGCGACCCCTGAGAAAGGGTCGTTCGACCGCCAAAGGGGTCGCGACCCTCAGGTTGAGAACCACTGCACTAATCCAATTTCTGCTCTGCATCTATTTGCCCAAATTCTGAGAATCTCTATTCACAAGGATATTATAACTACACACATACGTGTGTGTTTGTATACACAAATATATATATAGATAGATATATCTGTGTGTGCATGATTTAATACAGCACTGTCAATTATATTCAGTAGCACATAATTTTTAAAAAACACCATTTGGGAAACACTGCCTAGGACCTAAAATGCTCTGGCCTGTGGAACAGTCACACGAAAAGGCATTCCTCAGGAGGCTGCAGGGGTGAGGGAGGGGTGTGGTCTTTAGAACTAGCAAGCCCTCTATCTACCTAAGTGATTTCTGGGCAGTGCTGTTTAGAGGGCCCAGAGTGAACTCTTAAATCAGGTCCTATTGTAGGAGGAGTTAAGAAGAGCAAACAATTCCCAATTTAATGAATAGAAAATGCATCACAACTCTTCCCATACCACCCCCCAAATCCCCAACTCACCGATTCTTCTCCATTTCATTGTGAGTTGATCTGAAAGGGGGAACAATAAGAAAAGTTGTTTTTTTTTTCTTAAAGGACTACTTCAATACCAACAAATATTTTTAACTTCTTTCTCTCCAAAGTTGATAGAAGACAGAAAAAGGGAGAATAACTCAGTGAGTTCTACTAAAGAAACCAGTCCCTTTGGGGGTCAGGTACATGTAAATATCTAAAACAGAGTTCAAAGAGAAGTGAAAAACTAAGAGGCATGCATTCCCTAGTGGAAAGGTAATCCATTTTAAGAAAGGAAATAAAAGAAGTCTATTTATACAAAGACAAAACAGCCGCACAATGTGATGTGAACTTGGGTTCTATCATTCCACAAGCTTACTTTAGGCTGAGGGTACAACAGTGGAGGTGGCACCCCCACTCCAGCCCTGGAGTTTTTCTAGGTGTAGTATTCACCAAAATTTTATGCTAAGTTGTTTGACTACAGGATTCAGTTTTAAATGAGTAAAAATCACCCCTCTCCCCTGAATCTCTGTATTCCCTGAAGTAACTATTTTATCATATACAACCTTCTGGAAGGAGCTAGTATTGAATAGCTATGAAATGATTTTAGGGAGGAGCTTCCAAAACTCATTTCAACATAAAGACGACAGACTGGTTAGAGCTTTGCCACTGACTGGTACCGTGGAGGAAATAAAACTTTTACCATTCTGTCCTTGGTTAACCCCTCCGTAAAATGGGAATAAAAAGTATTGCTAATTATCTACTGAACAAGCATGGATCAATGAGGTAGCAACTGTAAAAGTGATTAGAGAGCCTTGGGTGAAAGCTGTGGTGGACGTGAATTCATGTTATTAGTGTATTTATAGCTGACCTTGAATATAAGGTCTGGTCTAAAAATTTATGGACAGGTTTCACAAAAGTCACAAGCAGTCAGTCAAGTGGTCACTTCAGTGTCCTGCTCACACAGTTCCTCCCTGACTAGTTATAAATAAGCCTGAGGAACTCCCCAGTGTTACAAAGGCACTGGACCCTGACCTTACGGAAGCTCTCTAGAATCTAACCAGTTCAAGAGGTTATGCCCTGGTTCAAACCATGAAATTCGGTGAGGCCATAATTAGAACCTCACTGTGCCTAGGAGATAAATTCTCAGAGTAATCATGGAGGATCACTGCTCCCATGAATTCTCAGCCACTCATTTACATGGGGAGGCGGGCATCAAGTTTGTTTACATCAGAGACTAGGGGGGTGTGTGTGTGTGTGTGTAGTCTTGAAATGGGACATTTCCAATCTGGCACTTAAACTTCTCTTCTACGAGGAAAAAAACTAGAAAAAAATGACAGCACTTTCAGTTTTAGAGCATTTGTTTTCCGGATAAAGGACGTGCGAACTTTGAAACTGGTTAACTTAAAAGCTTTAGATTGAGTCCCTTGGTTATCCCTCAGCATTCTTCAGTTACATTTTTCTGAAGGTTTATTTCTGCAATGGCCAACAGGACATCACAGTTAACAAGAATCTGGCTTACAGTGCAAACCTTTGGCTTAAAATCACGTGACATTTTAGTTTTAACAGGGAATAACAAGTTCAAAGTCTGACAGATTTTTTAAATGGATGGAAGTATATGACCACAACTGGCGAAGATTTCCCTGTTTAATCGCAGGCAAGGACCTTCCTCAAGTGCCATTCTTGGAAGGTGGTGGTGGAGGAGGGTGGATATTTGAAAAGAACATGGTCTCCTGTCAGAGAAAATAACAGCACACGGGGCACTCGTACCAAAAATTTCTGGATTCTTTGAAGATACATATAAAAAAAAATTCTGAATCTTTAAGAGAGACTTAATAGATTCCATAGGAAGCACAACTCCTTCCAAACTTTGAACAGAGTTTTGGAAAGTAAAGATCTTATTTGATTACTTAGGGGTGTTGAACACATTGTGATGTTTACAAGGGGACTTACACCTAATGGCTTGGGCATTATTGAAGTGCATTTGGTTTACTGAAACTGAGTTTGTTTTTAATAAAAAGCAGACCTTTTAAGAAATAATCATTTCAGAGATTGCCTGCAAACTCTGTTGATGGGTTAACATTAATATTTTTAATTATAGCATTATAAGAGACAGATACTTTGTATCACAATGATTTTCCATGTGATTATTGAAGATTTGATAAATCTGTAATAATTGAAGGTCAATGTCACCATTTAAAAATATATTCTAACAGAAAGATAACTAAACCAAACTACATAGTATTTGAGAATGAGAAAAGTCCTTGGTTCAAAAAGACTCCCCATGTCAGGTCAGCTATATAGCCACTGTCTCATAAAAGAACTGGGTAGCGAGTCCTGGACTTCCTCTTTCAAATGAGTGCCAAAGTCTGCTTTACCAATTTAACATACTTTTAAAAAGCCTGGATTTCAATTCTACATATTTAGTAACTTATTTCAAAAACCAGAAAGGGAGGAAAAAAAGATTCCATCTCCCTGTATTCCAGTAGTTCTTTGGATGATTCCAAAACAATCAATATTCACAATTTCATTTGTGTGTTGTTGTTGTTTTAAACAAGCAATTAGAAAAACTTTAGATCTGCATTTTCAGTTCCCAAGAAATTTGATATGTGGCTAAATCTTATTTTTTATTGTCCAAGGAAAAGTATTCCCCCCACCCCAGCTCTACAAACAAAGAGCACAGCATTTCAACCCGAATTAACAAGAATAAACTGTTATCCAATGGTTATGTAAACCAGCAGCAATCTCTCCACAGCCCTTACTTCAGTTCACAATCCCGACGATACAGAGCTTTGGATATAAGTCTAATTCAAATCAAGGGATCAAACTGCATTCTCTGGGGGGGGGGGGGGGGCGGGGGGGATGGCTCTCTGCTCAGGTCAGGAAGGAAATGATTACATTTAAATAAAACAACCTGCTCCTGCTTCATATGATTGCTTGGCGTCTTCTCCAGGTTTAATCATGGTCTCTCAAGAGATCCTCGCATCACTGAAGATATTACACTAATTCACTACTAGTCCAGAATATGGACAACTGTGAGAGCCTCCTATTTCTTACCTTGAAAGCAAACCAAATCCATTAAGAGACGTAACAGAGCTTTTCAAAAAATCAGGAGTTGCAGCCATTTTTTTTTTTTTCAGGAATGCTTCATATTAAAGAGAAGAGAAAGGCTGTTTCTTGGCTTGAAATTCTCAACTATCATTATTTTTCTTTCCTAATCACCTTCTGGGACCAAGCCACTTCTCTTCAACTTCCTCTTCTTTTCCTCTCCCTATCACTGAACATCCCCTGACAACTTTCCTGTGAAACTTAAGAAAAAAATTAATTGCTAAGGACTAGCCTTGACTATTAATGTGGATAATTCCTCTCACATCATGAGCAGACAAGAATAAATGAACTACACTTTTCCAGTAAAATAACCCAAAAGGCTTCAAAGTTCTTACAAAAATTTAAAAATTAACACTGTAACAAAATGCAACATAGCTAAACTGTCCTATACCATTGTATAATCCAAGTAAGTATCAGCATCCTTATTAGAGGCCCGGGTAGTATCCATGCACAGATCTATTAGCTACCACTTTCAGGTAATGCTAAGGAAGGGAAGGAAAACAAAAAAATCATCAGGTAATTAATTACCAGGCCCATGCTTCACAAAGTGCCTTCCTATTCAAGAGCTCAGCACCTGTGTGCTGCTCACATCCTGTGGTTCCACCAACACTGAGGACAGCTGGCAGAATCAAGGACAGAGGAGACAGCAAGAACGAGTTAGGTTTAAGTAGGAATCTTCTGGTTTCCAGTGGTCTGTATTATACCATAGAGGCTAACCAAATACAGCTACTTTCAGGGAGTTATTCATGAGGATGGGAAAGGGATAAGGATTCTAAATCAGCAATGAAAATGTCAATGGTTTTAATTTACTGGAATGAAAGGTATAGTTGAATGGATCTAATAAAATAGATTTCCTAGCTAACTTATATTTTAAGAGCAAGGAGGGGAAAAAGGACAACAGCATTAATAGAGTATTCCTATGTGCCAGGAACTATGTTCAGGGCTTTAATATGTGATTTCACTGACCACTAGTCAACTGCTAGTACTTCCTAGTGAGAGTCACAGATTTTAAGAACTGTAATAAGGCTAATATAAAAGGGTTGTGGCATATTAATATTTTGATGTTATATGTTCCTCCATCACCAAAAGGCAGATTTTAACCTCACTCATTCCTCTTTGCCATTATAAATAGGTATGACAAACTAGATTATCAGACAAACCATTGTATTTAATGCACATATCAAATATGAAATCCTACCACCCATGCCAAGTCAGATACTTTAACATGATTATAAATTTTTCATTATGAAAAGTGAAAGAAGTGGATAATGTCCATTTCTCTTTTCAATTCCCTCCACCCAGAGGGCTGCTTCCTCCAATGGCTTACGACCATGTGTGCATTACTGAATCATGATCGCCACTTAATTTACTGGGTTATAATCACAACAGGTAACTTCCATTCTGCAGGTTGTGTCATCTGCTGTATAACCTAAAAGGGAAAGAGAAATATTTACCAAATTACCTGCTACTGCTGTTATTCTTCTTAGATTTGTTCCTCCGTTTGAAGGCATCTCTGTCCTTGTTATTGTATGGTAACATGGAGGCATAACCATGTTCAGCTTCTAGAAAACCGGAGGATCCAGTTAATGAATGAACCTGGAACATTCAATACTCTCGCTTCTCTACAGTATTTCCTTTTTACATTTTACCTATATTTCATTGAAAGAATAGAGTGGAAATAATTAAACGCAGCCAGGTGGAATCCTTAGAACAATGATTGTTTTTAAAATTGTGTGAATGCCCTCAGTTCGGAGCAGGTGTAAGGAGCATTCCAGCTGCTCATTGTTGAGAAAGACCCATCAAGTCGCTAAGCGCCTGGAGCCCGGGCTCCCCATTGGCAACGTCCAGCAGGTGTGTTAAGTGAAGATGCGGGGCAAACGCCGGGCGCGGGGGTTGGGAGGCGCTGCTCCTCCGGCTGAGACGGGCCAGCAGGGAAGAGCCCGATGAGGTAGACCCAGGGCCTGGCCGAGGGGGCCCCCGGCACTCCACCCGCGACGGGGTAGGGAGGATGCGACACCCGGACCCCGGGGTGCAGCGGCCCCCTTTCCACCCCCACTCACTGCCTGGGGGGCAGCGGGCGTCCTCCCTCCCGACGGCGCGTAGGGAGAGCGGAGGGGTTAGGAGCGCTCGCGGTCGCGCTCTCCGCGCCTCCAACTACCCCCGGAGCGGCCGGGCGCCTGGACCCGCAGCGGGGACCCTCAGAGCCCCCGGCCCCTGTTGGGGTCCGACCCCTCCCGTCCCCGTGCACCTCTCTCCCGCCGCTCCAGGTAGTCAGCCGCCTCCAGCAGCATCTGGATGTTCATCCGAACCGCCGTCGCCATTCTGCACCGGGGGCCGGAGCCACGGGACCAACCCCCACTGCCCACGGGCTCGCTGCCGCCGCCGCCGAACACGCGCGACCCGCTGTGGACCCGGCAGAGCAGGGCTCACAGAGCCTCTTTGGCGACCACGCTGGCCGGAAGGGGGAGGGGGCCGGTGAGCTGGGCACCGCCGACACCGTGACAGAACCCGAAGAAGAGCAGCAGCCGCCCCCGCCGCGGAGTGTTTATCCCCGACTCACCATCCCCCCGCCCCCAGTCCCTTCTCTTGACAGGCCCGCTTCGCCTGCGTTCCTCATTGGGCGCCCCAAGACTGCCCCGCCTTTGGCTTTGCCCGATTGGGGAAGGGCATTAAGGCCACGCCCCCTAGAGTCCGCTCCTTTCGCTGGTTGGTCATGCTTGACAAGGCCCAGGCTCCACCCCCTCTTCCCAATTGGTGACAGGATTCGCAACTCCGCCTCGTGCTCCTTCCCAGCTTTCATTGGTTCTACACCGACAACCGGGCCCCCCGCCGCTTTGTTAGTATTGGCCAAGAGCTACAGAGAGCCAGCACTGCGCCCGCCTCCCATTGGCGGGCTCCCGAAACCTCCCAGCTACCATGACGTCACCCTTCCCCAGCCGGGCGATCCCTGAGTGGCTGGTAGCCAGCGGCCCCCGCGTCTCCTCCCCAGAACTGGCTTTGCCAGGGAGGGCGACCCGGCGCCCGACAGCGCTGATTCACCGGCCGTCGCGGAGCTCGGCTCCACCCGGCCCCTCCCTGCTCCCCTGGGACCTGTTGCCAGGACCTGCCCCAGGGGAAAAGTTCCCTGGAGTACGAGGCTGGCGTCACGCCTCGCCTAGGCAATCTGCCCCGCGCGGGGTCGGGTCGGAGCCGGGTCTGCGGCAGCTCCGAGGTTCCAAGGCTACCCCGGATCCGGGCGGCTGAGGGCCCCGCAGTGAATCCCTCCGAAGGGAGAGCGATGCTGGCAGCCCGGCCAGTGGCCAGTGGGCTCCAGGCTCCGGCGGGTGCCAGGTAGCTGTGGTGTTTGAGGGAAAAAGCCTGGCTTTGAGTTATGTTAAATGCTCGCCTCCCTGCGTTTCTCTTCTCCCAGAAAGTGCTAGAATCGGGCGGCTGTATTCGGCCGGAGCTCCTCTGCAAAGGCACTCCTACACCCCAAGTGCTGGCATGATGACCCTTACACGAATGGTGTTTAAAAGCGCAGAAACTTCCTGTACCTGACGTTGAATCCTGGGATTCTTTGACCTAAATCTCTTAGGATCTTGCTTTCCCCATGAAAATATTTTTTAAAATACTTTTCAAGTCGGCTATAAATGGTGTGTCTGTGTGTAGGGTGGTACCAATAGAAATGTATAGAATAAGTTCATTTAAGGATTGTTCCCTAAGCCTGTCAGATTACTCAAAGTTATTTTGAGACCCAAATTACAGTCAATATAATGACACTTCCATTTTAAAAAGTATAAATAAAACTTAGTAAATTGAGAGTCCTGCATATAGAAATGAGTGAAGCAAGAACATATTTCACAAAGCTTTTTTAGGAAGTTTGCAATTGCCCTAACCGGTTTGGCTCACTGGATAGAGCATTGGCCTGGGGACTGAAGGGTCCCAGGTTCGATTCCGGCCAAGGGCATGTACCTTGGTTGCGGGCACATCCCCAGTGGGAAGTGTGCAGGAGGCAGCTGATCGATGTTTCTCTCTCATCAAAGTTTCTAACTCTCTATCCCTCTCCCTTCTCTCTGTAAAAAAAAAAAAAAAAAAAAATCAATAAAATATATATATATTTAAAAGTCACCAAAAAAAAGGGAAAGAAAAATATTCTGAGAAACCATAATCTTTTTTTTTTTTTAATAAAAAGTTTGCAATTGTTCCCAATATATGAAAATAGAGCTTACTTTGTGTCAGGTAGTTTACATAAATTATCTCTAAACCTCACATCAGGTAGGTTACTTATTTACATTTTGCAAATGAGGAAACTGAGGTCCACAGAAACTAAATGACTTTCCTAGTCACCCAGCCAGAGATGGGAACTGTACCTTGGTCTGCTTCACCCAGAGCCCATGCAATACCAATGCTCCCATTAATAGTTTGTTCTAAAGAAAATGAAATAGATTTCTAGATGAGTCACAAAACATTGACACTTAAAACTCTGAGGAAAAAGAAAGAAAAGCATTTAAAGGTAATTATGGGAAATTTTAAAAGGGTTCTTTTTAATGGTTGACAGATCCATTAAAATTAAATAAACCTGATAGAATTAATAAGTAGAATAAACATTATAAATTATGCCTAACATATAGGAAACACTTCTGATTTTAATGGTTAATTGGATCTAAAAGCTGATTCTTTAGAAAACACTAGTATATACACATACTGAAGGCAAGGTTTTCCAACAAGCACAAAAAATTGGAGAATGAGGATATAACAATTTTCAAGACTATTTTTAAGGACTTTTTTTTTTTTTTTTAAGAAAGAAAAGAAAAGGTTTATTGCGTCCCCGGGAGACCCATGTACCCCAAAGACAGGGCACGTGGATTCATCAGGACTTTTTTAAATTACAAGTTATTTGTAAAACGAATTAGGAAATCATAATGAATACGCTTTGATGTCATCTTAATTTTGGATTTTGTATGCCTTTTAAAAATACCCTCACCTGAGGATATGTTTTTACTGATTTGAGAGAGGAAGGTTAGAGGGAGAAAGAGAAACATTGAAGTTTTGCTTTGGGGATCAAGCCAGCAAACCGGGTATGTGCCCTGACCAGGAACAGAATCCAAGACCATTTGGTGCCCAGGACGACACTCCATCTAACATTCAGCATATCTCTTTATTCTTCCTCTCTTACCTTCAATTCTTTTTTTTTTCTAACCTACTCTTATTTTTGTACCATGATCTTTCCCCTAGAATAACCCTGATTGAAAATCACACATAAAAAATAAACAGCCGAAACCGGTTTGGCTCAGTGGATAGAGCGTCGGCCTGCGGACTGAAAGGTCCCAGGTTCGATTCCGGTCAAGGGCATGTACCTGGGTTGCAGGCACATCCCCAGCAGGAGATGTGCTGGAGGCAGCTGATCGATGTTTCTCTCTCATCGATGTTTCTAGCACTCTATCTCTCCCTTCCTCTCTGTAAAAAATCAATAAAATATATTTTAAAAAAATAAATAAATAAAATAAATAAAGAAAACATTGAAATCTGAGTCAGAAATAGCAAATTAAAATTTGAACACCAACAGGTCTATCTTACACTCCACAAAAAAAAATACTAAGTTATGTAACAATCAGAGGATTAGACCAAAGAATGGATCATTACTGTTCCCTGGTGGTGGTGGAAGAAACAAACATGAATTAGCCAGCAACACCAACTAGGCATTAGCATCAAGAATTTTAAAGGGTATTTGGTGCCATCTACTGGAAATCAAGCAGTAAATACAAAATAAAGGTTTGGTTTTGTTTTTCTAGAAATTATTTTACACAAAGATATACAATGACCAAGTAAATAAGATAACTTGAAGGTGCAGATTTTGAAGTACTGAAAATCCTAAAACAAAGTAGAAGTGATGACCTCTAGCGCCTAGAACCTCAGAGCATTACCTAAGCATTGACTGATAGGCACAACCCCCAAAATAAAAATAGGAAATTCTAGAATGTTTGAACCTGACTTTTATTATCAGAAATTTAAATAAATTGACGTGTCACAGCATAAATATGGCATGACAATAGTTTATATATCTTAGAGCAGGCATTAAGATCAACTAATAGAATTGGGAAGAAAAAAGGAAATGTTGACAATGGGAAAGCACAAAGACATAAGCTATATTACCCATCATATAATCTTTACTGCATCTTTTAGAAAGCTAAGACTTTGTCTCCTGACTTGGAGGGGCTTACATACCCCAGGTGGGCATGGGACAGTATGTAAATACTGAATGAGCAGCAGGTTCATTAAATGCCATGGGAGTTCTGACAGAATTCTTCAGCGAGTACCTCAGAGTGGCAGGGAAAAAGCGGGTTTATTACAATTTTAAATGTCTAAAAAGTTCCAAAATGAAGTAAAACACCTTATTTGTAACGGAGTTTGACACTTCCTAACCACTATGACAATAAAATAAAAATTGCTAAATAAATTTTTTAAAAATATATATATTTTTTAATTGATTTTACAGAGAGGAAGGGAGAGAGATAGACAGTTAGAAACATCGATGAGAGAGAAACATCGATCAGCTGCCTCCTGCACACCTCCTACTGGGGATGTGCCCGCAACCAAGGTACATGCCCTTGACCGGAATCGAACCTGGGACCTTTCAGTCCGCAGGCTAATGCTCTATCCACTGAGCCAAACTGGTTACGGCTGTAAATAAATTTAGAGGAACTGACTTTGTTCTTTGAAGTGTGAAAATCAGGACTGGAATTTCCTACTTCAATAATATCAATCCCCACCTTTGTGGTTACTTTGGACACCTCAATACCATGACATCTAATGACATGATATTAAGTTTTAAAAACCTTTAAGAACACTGCTTTGCAAAAATTAGTTATTCCACAAATATTTTAAAAATAAAGGAATGACTAACCAAGTGATATATATAGTACACAAAACACTATGTAGCAGCTAAGAAAAAAACAGAAAGAAAGAGTAGAGGTACATAAACTGGCATAGAAACATTTCCAAGGCAGTGAATGTTCATAGCACCACTATTCATAATAGCCAAAATGCCCATAAACTGATACATTATAAATAAAAATGTGGTATGTGATAGAACAGAATATTATTCAACCATAAAAATAAAGGCCCTAGAGGTTGCTCAGTAGTTAGAGTGCCAGCCCTTGGGCTGAAGTGTGGCTGGTTGATTCCAGTCAAGGGCACGTACCTTTTGAGGTTCGATCCCTGTCTGGGCGCATGCAGGAGGCAACCAATCGATGTGTCTCTCTCACATGGATGTTTCTCTGTTTCTCCACCTCTCTCCCACTCTCTCTAAAAATCAAGGCTGCTTGCCGAAACCGGTTTGGCTCAGTGGATAGAGCGTCGGCCTGCGGACTGAAAGGTCCCGGGTTCGATTCCGGTCAAGGGCATGTACCTGGGTTGTGGGCACTTCCCCAGTGGGGGATGTGCAGGAGGCAGCTGATCGATGTTTCTCTCTCATCGATGTTTCTAGCTCTCTATCTCTCTCTCTTCCTCTCTGTAAAAAATCAATAAAATATATTTAAAAATCAAGGCTGGTGTGGCTCAGTGGTTGAGCATTAGCCCATGAACCAGGAGGTCACCAGTTCAATTCCTGGTCAGGGAACATGCCCGGGTTGCAGGCTCGAATCCCAGAATGGGGTGTGCAGGAGGCAGCCAATCGATGTTTCTCTCCATCGATGTTTTTATATTTCTATATGCCTCTCCCTTTTTCTCTCTCTAAAAATCAATAAAAACATAAAGAAAAAAGTCAATAGAAAAAATATCCTCGGGGAGGATTAAAAAAAAGAAGTAATTAAGTATTGATACATATTACAGTATAGATGAACCTTGAAAGCATTATGCTAAGTGAAACAAGTCAGACACAAAAGACTAAATTATTGTATAATTCCACTCACATGAAATATCCATTTATATGAAAATGTCCACATTAGACACATCTTTAGAGACAGAACGTGGTTTCTGGGGTAGGGAGGGAAGAGGGGTATTTGTAGGGGAGGAGGAACATTCCAGGAGGAACAAGTGGGAAGACTCTTAGGTAGATGCACACTTGTTCTGAAGGAACAGCAAGGAGGCCAGCAGCGTGGCTGAGTGCAGCAGGATGAGGGGGAGGCTGTGGGATGACAGGGTCCAGACTTCAGGCTTGTGGACACAGTAAGAACTAGACTTATTCTAAATCACAGAAAATTACCAGAGGCAGGAGCAACACGATTTGATGCACATTTTAAAAGGTTCACCTTGGCTGCTGGATGGAGGATAAACGGAGGGAGCAAGAGAAGGGGAGTTATCAGGAGGCCACTAGAGTAGTCCAGGCAAGAGCGAAGGCTTAGGTTATACAGGTGGTAAGAGTGGTCAGTTTCAACATATTATCAAATCACTACGATGTATACTTGAAATACCTTACAATTTTATGTCAATTACACTTCAATAAATCTGAACAAAAAAGTGGATTCAAATTATATTCTCAAATAAGAGTCAAAAGAATTGGCCAATGAATCAGATATGGAGTACAGGAGAAAGAGAGGAGTTAAGAATGACCCTAAGGATTTTGGTCTGAGCAGAGAAATGAGTGAAGGAACGAGCCATTTACTGAGATGGGAAAACCTCAAAGAAGGCTGGGCAGGGAAATGAGAGTTCAGTTAATTTTAAATTTGAGGTACCTAATAATCTAGGTGCATATACAAGCCTGGAATTCAGTAAAATGGTCAAGCTGGAAGTATAAATTCAAGAGCCATGACAGGAGATGTTTGAAGTCACACAAATCGTCCAGGGATTGAGCCCTGAAGCACTCATAACATTTAGATATGTGAAAATAGAAGATTTGGTGTAACTTATGCCCATTGAGGTGCAGCAGCCTGTTAGAGGAAGATGAGAATGTTCCTTCCATCTTTGTTATTCTTACAGAATCAGACAATCTGATGGACAAAAGATCCTTCAAACCAAGACTTCTCTTAGGATCAGAGGTGTCTTATCTCTGGATTTTAAAAGATTTCCTCCTTCTCTATTTCTTTGGTGTTAGCTGATGAGCACATACCTACTGACCTACCAGATATTTTCAGATTTCTTTTAAAAAAAAATTCTTATTGATTTCAGAGAGATAAGGAGAGGGTGAGAGAAAGAAAAACATACATGAGAGAGGATCATTGATAGGCTACCTCCTGGCCCCCCCCCCCCCATCCCCCACCAGGGATCAAGCCTGCAACCCAGGCATGTGCCCTAACCAGGAATCGAACTGTGACTTCCTGGTTCATAGGTCTTCTCTCAAACACTGAGCCACAGTTGGGCTCATATAATTTCTTTACAACTATGTTGCCTTGAGGATCTCAAGTCAAATCTCTAACACCAAACGAAGATGACAATCCAAAGACCTGTAATTTGGTTTGGGTTATATTATTTTATCCCAGAATTTTTAGCTTCCCTATTCAAACAATTGGGTGTGCACATGTATGGTCAGACAGTCCTTGTCCTGGATAATTTACAGATACACAAGTTTTGGTGAGTGAGGGTTTGGGAGTCTATTTAGCTCAGTTTGCAAAAAGTCCAAGCAAAATATTCTGACTGACTAAGGCAGTGACACTCATGCAATGGGTACTACAAGTTGTGCAGCTAATGTAGCACATTCAAATATTTAAGCACTGAAGGCAACCTGTAGTATAAACACCAATTATATCTGCCTTTATGGTCTGAAAAGCCTCAGCTTTCTCATCTGGGAAACGGAGATAATAATGCCTGCTATGTTCCACGGGGAGCAAATGAACCAAGGTGCTCTCTGCACACTGTATTATTTAATGCAGTCATTCTACTACTTTTCTTTTTATTTATTTATTCATTCTTTATTTTATTTTAAAACCCATATGGTTTTATTAGCCAGTATCTCCCTAATACATTCAACGAGAGAGAGAGAGAGAGAGAGAGAGAGAGAGAGAGAGAGAGAGAGAGAGAAGAGAGAGAGAAGAGATGAAAAGATAAGACAACCCGTGAGTACTAGCCTTGTGTACTAGTAGGTTACTACTCTTTTCTTTCTATGGAATGACCTGCCAGGGAAGCTTTTAAAGAACTATAATAAATGGTCAAATTTCAGATGCAATGAAGGATTTAAAAATTCAGCTAAAGAAACATAAAATCATGTACATACAAGGGCCATGATTATAGAATTTTTAAAAATAGTAATAGAGCCCTGACCGGTTTGGCTCAGTGGATAGAGCGTCAGCCTCCGGACTCAAGGGTCCCAGGTTCGATTCCGGCCAAGGGCATGTACCTTAGTTGCAGGCACATACCCAGTAGGGGGTGTGCAGGAGGCAGCTGATCGATATTTCTCTCTCATCGATGTTTTATAACTCTCTATCCCTCTCCCTTCCTCTCTGTAAAAAATCAATAAAATATATTTTAAAAAAATAGTAATAGATTACAACATTCTGAAATAAACCATACTTGATGATTAAAAAAAAGAGGCAATATTACATGTGCTGATAAGAAATACTCTTAAGACTTACAAGTGAAAAAAAGGCTTGTTGCAAAATAATGTGTAGTTTGCTTACACATGAATACAATATGTATTTGCATATATCTCTGAGAAGATACACAATTAGCTCATCACTTTATATCCTTTGTGCTATCCAAATTGTGTTCCATGTTCTTGTACTCAAAAACAAACAACCCAAATTTAAAATCTAACTATGGAGCTCAAATACCAATGAGATGTGAAACAGAATGGGTAATGTTTATTATCTTCAATATAAAAAGTTTCCTTCAAGTAAGAAAAAGAAAACTTGCCAAAACACAAATGGAACCAAGATTTAGAATTAGCATTTTACAAAGGAATATATATGGCTAACATGTTTTTAAAATGTTCCTCCTCCCTAGAAATTAAATAAATTAAAAGCAAATACCAACACTTTACTCATCAGATTGGAAACTTTAAATAAATCATTACACCCAATATTAGTAATTGTGTATGAAATGAGAACTATACCTTACTGTCAGAGTCCATTACCTTTCTAGCAATATATATGTACCAAAACCCTTAAAACATGCACGCGCGCACGCGCACACACACCCCTTTATCTCACATCTAAGAACCAAACCTAAGGAAATAATGCAACAAGTACAAAAAGATATATGTAACAGGGATACTACTTACAGCAAATCATGGCAGGGAAGCTAATGTTCACCAAGTAAATGATTAGTTAATAAAAAATTATGGTACAACCAACTACCTCCTAAAAGCTAAGTTTCCAAAGAATATGTAAGAATATTAAAAAGATATTCACAGCACATGGGAGAAAAAGGATTAGCAAAAGAGAACTGCATTCTGATCCCATGGTAGGGAGTAGGAAATATACACCCACAGAATCCTGAAAAGATATATACCAAAATATTAACATTGAGTGTTCCTGGGGAAGGTTATAGGTGATTTTGGCTTTTCTTTTACTGTTTGGTTTATCCCACGTTGTTTTGTGGGTTTTTTTGTGTTTTTTGTTTTTAAATAATAAGCATTTATTGCTTTTAAAAATGGGGGAAAGTAATAAGTGGTACTGAGGAAAAAACCCTCAGAAGATACAAAAATCCAGTTATACTTTTTCATTCTTTTAATTTTTTAACTACTAGGAATCCTATCTAAATCTAGACATGAAAAAAGAAAATGTACTGGGAGATATTTTATACAGTAATAAAAATTTTATCAAATACAGAGAGGTAGAAATAATTGCTTTATTTGAGACACTTACATCCAAATTACTTTTTTATGTGTTTTAAAAAGTCCTAACGAGCATCCAAGAAGAAAACATATACAGCTTCCACAGGAATAAGACAAAAAATGGGGTTGATGATTGCCCCAAATGATACTTCCTAAAAGAAAAAAATGTAATATTTAACATTTCTTCTTTTGAGGCAAGGTAAGTGAACTGCACACAGCAAAGGTAAAATTTTCTTACTTTACAAGGAGGAAGGGCTGTGATCCTGTCCTGTTTTGATGCATATGAAATACAAAATACAAAATCCACTCTTCTGATCATGAGGGGGGGGAAAATCATTCTTCAACATTTCAATTCTCACGCAATGAAATCCAAAGGTCTGTTGAATCCACCTTTGCGATTCATGTACTGCCTATGACAAGAAGAAAAAATTCAACGTTCATTAAAAAAAAAAAAAATTCTGGACTCCTTTTGTGAAAAAATATCCATGGTCCTGGTCAGGCTGCTTAGTTGTTTAGAGCATCGTCCCAATATACCAAGGTTGCAAGTTCTATCCCCAATCAGGGCACATACAAGAATCAATCAATCAAGGAATAAGTGCAACAACAAATTGATGTTTCTTTCTCTTTTTCCCCCTTCCTCTCTCTCTATAAAAAATGAGATGCTTCTGAAATTACACCTATAAATAACCTTTAAGATGGCAAAGTATAAGGTAAGAAGTATTCAAGATTATTTAATGTACAGTAAGAAGAGATTACTTCACTTTCAAAATAAGCAACAGCATTATAGATTTCTGTAAAATCCAAATAGAAGCATGGAAATATACTTTCAAAATTATTTGAGAAGATTCCAGACTTAGAAAAAAATCAATTTATTTATTTTAAGTAACACCAAACACCTAGTTAAAGGATACAGAGCAGAGTTCAAAACACCTGCCAAGTAAATCTGATTGCATACTGGACTGGTTTTCTCCATAACACTCTATTTAAAGGGAACTTTACAAAGGAATGCCAGTGATGATTCTGGTTCCTTAACACGTTAAACGCCCAGTCAGTCACCGGGGACTGACACTATACTTTCTGTCCGGAAGACAAAACAGGCTGGGCGCTTAACGTGTTAACTCACCAGCATTCTCAAATCACATTATTCATATTCTAAATTAATTGGAATATTAGTCTTTTATCAGTGGTAACGGTAGAGAGTAAGGCAATGTTTGAAGACGTGTTCTTGACTTTTCCATTCATTAGGAATTCAGAAAGATTTCAAGTATGAATTGTCCCATGCTATTAATAAAATGTGTGTACTAATATATTTACAGTTGAAATCCTTACATCATCAATCCAAATGAGTAATTCAGGAGTGATCTATTTTTTAAATCTATAATTATAATGAAATTAAAGTAAAAAGACTTTTAAAAATGTTCTGAAGAACTATCTATACAGTTGTAAAAGATTTATGCCAGCCGAAACCGGTTTGGCTCAGTGGATGGAGTGTTGGCCTGCGGACTGAAAGGTCCCAGGTTCAATTCCGGTCAGGGGCATGTACCTGGGTTGCGGGCATATCCCCAGTGGGAGATGTGCAGGAGGCAGCTGATCGATGTTTCTCTCTCATCGATGTTTCTAACTCTCTATCTCTCTCCCTTCCTCTCTGTAAAAAATCAATAAAATATATATTTAAAAAAAAAAAAAAAGATTTATGCCAACTACCATTCTCTATAATAATTAGTTCACATGTAAATCAGAAATTAACACACCAGAATATAAGCAAGGAAGATTGAAACAAGGGACTGTACGGAAGATTGCTACATTTCCTACAAATAATTATCCGATAATAAATTCTTTCTCAAGCACATGATTTATATTACTGGTTCAAACATAATAATGGGGGTAATGCATACCTGTACTTCCTCTTCTGAGACACATTTATGGCATAGGCATTTACAGAACCATCCAACTTTTTTCCCTAGAGAAAAGCAATATATAAATTATAAAAACAGGAAGGATACATTAAATACCTTGATCAAAAGAATTGCATCCTATAGATAGACTTACATGGCAAGATCCAACTAAGAATGAGGTAGGCCAATGAGAAAAAGAATTTTCAGATCCTGATGATATCTCATGAGCTCCCAAGTATTACACTTCCGTTCACCTTTTTATAGTCACACATAAGCAAATAATACAATATTCAAATCAAGAGACATTCCTGGTGCCGAACCGGTTTGGCTCAGTGGATAGAGCGTCGGCCTGCGGACTCAAGGGTCCCAGGTTCGATTCCGGTCAAGGGCATGTACCTTGGTTGCAGGCACATCCTCACTGGGGGGCGTGCAGGAGGCAGCTAATCGATGTTTCTCTCTCATCGATGTTTCTGACTCTCTATCCCTCTCCCTTCTTCTCTGTAAAAAATCAATAAAATTAAAGAAAAAAAAAAAAAAGAGAGACATTCCTGGTTTATGTATTACGTGCAAGGCATGAAGGGAAATAGCGTAGCAGATCCTAACCTCTTTTGGTCAAAGAATTCTTTGAAACCATATATGTTAACAGTATTTTCTCTAGAAAAATTCACATTTTCAAATTATGGCTGGATCAGTCACCATTCATCTAAATCCCATTTCTTACACAGGCCTTGCAATTTGGGTTTTTAAATCAGAAATCAGAATACAGAGTAACATATGCTAATGTTGAGTGTCACTTATATCTTGGCCTTTTCTCATGTGGCTTCTACCCTCTTTTTCATTAATTCCTTTATGGGTCTTTTGATTCAGCCAAGTTAACTCACCACTTGCTTTTCCTCATGTCTGAATTACCATCCCAACTCCCATTGGTTATCTTCAACTACGTGGTGCTTATACATCATTCAAGGCTCAATTCAAATGATCCAGAGGCATCGATACCCACCATGTTCCAACCTGCATTATCATAATGTATACACTTGATGTCATTTCCCCTATGAGACTGCAAGCTTCTTGAGGGAGGGATATGCCTTTGCATACTCACATCCTAGGCCACTGCACTTGCAGGTGCTCAGAAAATGATTGTTAAATGTATGAACATCATCGGTTAGCGCTCACTTGCATTCTCTCCCTCTCTCTCTCCCTCTCTCTCTCTCTCTCACACATACACACACACACACAGAGCCCTCACATACATGACCCTCATTCCCCCCTTTCCTCATTATTACTCATGGGAGTGTACCCTATCAGTCCGTGTTAGGGAAAAAAAAGGATTCTTACTCACTGGCCTAAAGGCATATACAAATGAGGCACATATTTAAAGTGGAGCTAAAATAAATATATTTGATCTTACTTTTCCCGTTTTCACTACATTTTGGGGGAAGGGAAGAATAATGGGTAAATTACTTGAGGTGCAGGATTTTGACCTCCCAAGAACAAGTATCTTGAGATGGAGCATGTTCACCATAAGCTTCCCAAAGTATACGATAACTTTCAGCAGCACTTTTCTTCAAAATAAAGTAATGAATTAAAACTTTCCACAGATGCTTTTTTGGCACAAAATTCAACATTTTTAAGCGTAAAAATATCTATGATGTTAACACCTTCAGAAAATTTGACATATGAAGTTTTGAAGCTTGTTGTCAATACAACAAAATAGCATACATATCAAATCACATATATATCAACATATGTGTAACTCCATCTATTGAAAAAAATCCACATTATTAACCGGTACACCTAGTAAATGCCTCCCAAATGTGCTCCAAGGCTGCCCTAGGTGATCTGTCTAAAACACATACAAATCCTATCACTCATTTTCTTCAAAATCTTTGCTTTCTCTCACCACCTAAAGAATCATCTCTTCCGAGGGTGGGAGGGAGGGGGGGAAGGGAGGGAAAATTGGAGATATCTGCAATACTATCAATAATAAAATATATGTAAGAATCAACTCTATATTCCTTAGCATGGCAAAGGGCAGCAAAAGTCCGCTATGATTTGCTTCCTACCTCTATTTCCAGCCTCATTGTAGTCAGTGGCCCATCAGCATCTTTTTAACAGCCATTGAATTTGAAATTCCCACAATACACTATGCTACTTCATGTCTACAGGGCATTTTCATGAACTCCTCCTTCTACTTAAAATGATCTTCCTCTTCTTCTTTCTATTGGCCCTTTAAGATCTAACTCGACCCTATCCCAGGCAAACACTCCCTGGATTCAATGGCACCTCACTGCTTCCTTCTCTGTACCCTCAAACCGCTTCATACAGACAGTTATTATCTTTTAACTGAATAAACTTGTATCAATGGAAGCAATTACATAGTCAACAGTAAAAAAATATGAAAAAATGGGACAGTCATAATGGATTAATTCAATTCAAACTGCATAAGTGGCTTCAAGTTTTACTTACTTTTGTTGAGTCAAAGGAGGCAAATCCCATTATCTTCATCATTTCTATTTCTTCTTCTGTTTTTCCCTCTAAGTCTTCCTCTGCAAAAATAAGTGAAAAATTTTAAAACTCCATCATTTTATATATATTAAAGCAAAGGTGGCACTAGATTAACAGTCACTCCACCTGACCAGCAGAGAACATACAAAACAATCAGCTAAAGACTTAAGTCTAGCTCAGCTGCTGTGACTTAGTGATTGAGCGTCAACTATGAACTAGGGAGGTCATGGTTTGATTCCTGGTCAGGGCACATATCCCGGTTTTGGGCTCAATCCCCAGTGGGGATGTGCAGGACACAACTGATCAATGCTTTTTCATCAATGACGTTTCTATCTTTCTCTCCCTCTCCCATGTTCTCTGAAATAAACTGTTTTTTATACACACACACACACACAAGAGACTTAAGCTAATGAAAAAAATTCCTCTTCCATTTGTAATGTAACTTTTAAAAAAATTCTTTATTGTTTAAAGCTGTGGTCGGCAAACCACGGCTCGCGGGCCACATGCGGCTCTTTGGCCCCTTGAGTGTGACTCTTCCACAAAATACCACGTGTGGGCGCGCATGTACAGTGCAATTGAAACTTCGTGGCCCAAGCGCAGAAGTCGGTATTTTGTGGAAGAGCCACATTTAAGGGGCCAAAGAGCCACATGTGGCTCGCGAGCTGCTGTTTGCCGACCACTGGAAGTATTACATAAGTCTCCCCTTTCCCCCAGTGTCCTCCCCCTGGCCACCCCCAACCCCCAGCACATGCCCTCAACTCCCTACTGTCTGTGTCCATTGGTTATGCATATGCAGGCATATAAGTCCTTTGGTTGATCTCTTACCACTTCACCCCCCGCCTTCCCTCATAGGTTGGACAGTCTGTTTGATGGTTCTATGACTCTGGTTTTAATTTTGCTCATCAGTTTATGTTGTTCATTATATTCCACAAATGAGTGAGATCATGTGATATTTATCTTTCTCTGACTGGTTTATTTCACTCAGCATAATGCTCTCCAGTTCCATCTATGCTGTTGCAAATGGTAAGAGTTCCTTCTTTTTTACAGCAGCATAGTATTCCATCGTGTAGAAGTACCACAGGTTTCTAATCCACTCATCTGCTGATGGGCACTTAGGCTGTTTCCAAATCTTAGCTATGGTGAATTGTGCAAGCAGACTGTAACTTGAGATGCAAGGAAGGAATGTGCTCTCCACCTTCCAACAGAAGAAACTGCTTAAAAGGACATGCTGAAGCCTTTAGGCAGGACCCCTTTCATATCAGACATGACACTTGTTTCGAAGGTACTTCCAAAATAAAATATGCTCACATTTTTAATTGTCCTCCCAATATCAGGAGTACCATAGATAACCAGGAACTCAAAGGGACAATTAAAACAAAATCTCAATCCATATGCAATGAATACTATAAACAACTTAATATATCTTAATAGTTAAAAATTATACTTTTATAATGTTATCATGCCTGAAGTTATCTAAACAAGGCTGCACTCTTCCTACTGTTATTTTCTAATAACATTACCAGTTATCTGACGTTCTTTGCTCTTTGTTTCTTTCTTTTCCTCATCTCTTCTTTCTTTCAGTCGAGAAGGAGAAGGAGATGTGGATCTATGTCGTCTTGGGGATCTAATATTTAACAAGTAAACATGTCAGAAACACAGACATACCTGGTCACTGTGTCAATCAGCACAGATATGCATGAGTGCCTGAAAGGTAAAGGCTGAACAAGAGCCAGGCTGCCGAGAACCACGAGCCCATTTCCTATAGAAGAATAAGCTAGAAGGTTCTGCCTACCCCAATTGTTAGCAAAAACACAGTCTTGCTCAGTATAGCTAGGGCTAAAAAATGTTCTGCAAGGCAGAAAAACGTAACTAAACAGTTTCTAACAACTGCACATAAACACAAAACGTTGACTTAAACAGCAAAGGATACTTATTAGGAAATCACAAGTTCATTCTAAGGTACTTCCAAGATCTCACATTTTTTATTACATACTTGAATAAGTCTTTATCACCAAAAAGTCAATAAAAACAAAACAAACACTTATTTCTTATTTTTGCCAAGCATCATGTTAAGTGCTTTTCTGGCATTATTTCTCATTTACTCCTAAAGGCAACTCTAGGAGTAGAGACTTATTAACCCCATTAACCCAGGGAAATGTTAGGTTGAGAATAAGATGGGCTTAAGTCCCCCTCATTTCATGGCATTGTAAATCAAGCATGTCAAACTCGCAGCCCACAACAAATATCTTTTCAGCCCAGCCAATATAATGGTGTGTAAGAAACGTTTTAATAAAAATTTCATAACTTAATTTTTACAATATCCTGTTATACATAATTATTAATAACAACGTTCACTAATGACTGGCCCCTATAATCGTGTTGCATTCATTTCCCTTACACGTCTTACATGCAGGCGCACCATTTCTCTCCACTAAATCTAGCAGCGAATATTTTAGCAGCCGATTGCCACATCATTAGTCTTTTTTTAAAAAAATATATTTTATTGATATTTTAGAGAAGAAGGGAGAGGGAATAGAGAGTTGGAAACATTGATCAGCTGCCTCCTGCACACCCCCCACTGGGGATGTGCCCGCAACCAAGGCACATGCCCTTGACCGGAATCGAACCTGGGACCTTCAGTCCGCAGGCCAACGCTCTATCCACTGAACCAAACAAGTTAGGGCAACACATCATTAGTCTTGTACTGACTTGTTTGGTGTGCACAACAGGAAATGTTTCACTTTCAGAGAAGAAGAAAAATAAGTTTATTTGCGTTACACTTATTAATTTGTGCAGTTATTCAGTGTCTGGTAAATTAAAGTTCAAGAAAAAATATTAATTTTTATTAAAATGTTCTATTATTTTAACGATTACTCATTTATTTCAGCCCTTTGTATTGAGCACATCTCTATCAAAATAAACCTACATTTCTATGAAAATTGAAGCTTTTGTTTTTTTGCGGCCCACAGAAACTTAAACCTTATCTGGCCCACGTTAGCCTTTGAGTTTGACATGCTTGTTGTAAATGGCCTTATAAGTGATAAAAACAAAGTAAAGGGCAACAACTAGTTTCTCTCGGGCTCGTGGTAAAGCTCTGCCCATGTTCCGCACTTACCTGGAGCGTCTTCTGTGCGGGGATCGAGAGCGGCTCCTTCTCCGATCTCTCTCCCTGGACCGAGACCTTTCCCGGCGCCTGCGTTCTCTCTCGCGCGAAGTGGACCGGGATCGCCTGCGTTCTAACACAAGGAACAAAATTGCAGAGCCAAAATTTACCTCAAATATTTAGAGCTGGGCTGTCTCATAGGAATATAATGCAAGCCATTTCTAGTATTCACATTAAAAAAATAAAAAGGTGAAATAAGTTTTAACAAAATGTTATTTGACTAAATATATATATTTCCAAACTATTATCATTTCAAAAAGTACTCAATATAAGAAAGTATTGAGATGATGCTACCTTTTCCGTACTAAATTAAGGAAATCCGGTGTGTATCCTACAATTAAACAGCACTTCTTAATCCTGATTGGGCACATCTATTCTGACTGGGATCCTCAATAACCATATGTGGATGCCGGCCCCATTTAACTTTAAAGAAAATCACATCTTGACAAGTTGAAGGTGGTAAAAACCACCCAGGGGCAGAACCGAGGGTCTAAGTCAGAGTACACGGCTCTGCCTCACTTATGGGGCTGGGGACCAGGAGACCTTAGGACCTAAGGCTTAGGGGGTGAGCTCCCAGGACACACGATTCCCCATTCAATACACCGGAGAAACCTACCTTGAGCATTAAGACATAGGCAGTATCACATGCTGAGTGCTATGGAAAGTGCCATTATTGCTCACATCAGTATTTAAACTAGGTAATATTACCCCCAATGTCTAATTATGGGAATTCGGACTGAGAAAGGTTGGATGGCTTACACACGGTCACCCAGAAATTAAATGAAAAAACCGTGGTCTGATTCTAAATTATCAGGTACAATAATAACAAAAGTTACTATTGGAGGCTGATAAAGAGCGAAACGCCAATTTAGAAGGGAAAAACCCTGCTTCGGAACCGAAGCGCCGAGGTCTTCGTTCCCCCCATCCACACAGACACCCGCTTGTCTCCTTCTCAGGCGTAAAGGGCCTGCATCTCCGCGGCCCTCGCACAGAAAATAAGGGGGAATAGGAAGCGCCTCTAACCGAGCCCCAGACCCTCCGAACTTCTTCCAGACTCACCCCGCCTCGGAGATCGGGAGCGGCTACGACCCATTTGGAAGGCTCCTCTACCTCACACCGCCTCGGAAACGACTGTGCAACAACTTCCGTGAAGGCCGGAAGTGTGCTTTCACTGCCGACTGGAAAACGTTGAAACCACTCACAAGGGTTCCGCGTCTAACGAAGTGCGGCTGCGCAAAGCCAGCCCAGCATCAAAGGGCCCACTGGAGCGGGGAGATGCGGCTGAGAACCAAGTTGTTACTTCCGCTCTTCCAGCCCCATTTTCGCCGAGGCTTTTGTTTCACGGTGGGCATTAACGTGTGCTAGTTCATGTTGTTATAGAAATCCGGAAAAACCCATATACCCACCACCCTAACACAGTTTTCTTTCCGCCCCTTATCTTGGCAGTTCTTGATAAATGCACAAGACTTTTCATATCAAATCAATTCTAAACTGCAAGCAGTTTAAGCCCACATCGGGAAGCACCAGGGTGGGTCAGGAGGCAGAGGGAGCCAGGGGAAAGCATGGGTAAGAGACATGATTGTGGTTTTTGCAGGAAGGAATGGGAGAGACAGGGCGAATTTATGATTGGCGAATTTGCATAATTTCAGCGGGTTTGGGGATATAGAGGCTGTGCAGGTTTGTTTGGTACCTGGCCCTGGAGTCATTAGGGCAGAGGAATGTTGCCTGGCTTGTGAAAGTTTGGTAAAGAAGGTGGTTGGAGGATATAGGCTAACAATTGAAAGGCACTCTCCCAAGAGTCCAGGTGTCAAAACATGAGAAAGTAAAATAAAAAGGCATGAGCAATACAATTATTCAAAGGAACATTTATTGCACACCTGCATAACAGAGGATTAATAGTGAAAAAGGCATACCTGCTCTTGAGTAGACTGCTGGCCACTGAGAGATACAAACTAGTAAACAGTGTGAATGTGCATTGATGGGGAAAACATTATGAGGGCACATAAGACTGGTACCTAACTGGTTTTGAAGGAGAGGGTTGTCAAGAGAAGTTTCCAGAAGGAAATGATGTCCAAACAAGACCTTAAGGATGAGTACACATTAGCTAGGTGAAATGGGGTGACACTTGTTGTGGTAAAAGGTAGAACAGGTTGTCAAGGCTGCAAATGCAAGAGTAAGAATGGGCTATGCAGGGAAATAAAAGTATGGAAGCCACTTGGGGAACAAGGAGTAGAAATCTAAAGACACTGCTAGAATAGACTTGTAAACTATGGCAGCTATCCTGAGACAAAGGATGGGAGGGAATCAGATTGAGTTCATTCAGAGAACACTTGAAAAATGTAGAGGCTTCACCGTGGGGAATATAATAGGAGGCTGGTTCAATAATCTAGATTGGAAATTACAGTGGCTTATAGTAGAATGCTGTCAGTAGGTAGGTACGGTGGAACCTGCTAACACTTGATAAACAATTAGTGAAACCTGAATAACTTGGTGATGTTTAGATGCAGAGGATGAGGGAATTAGAAGATTCAAGAAAGACAGACATCCAGGCTTCAGGTTTGTGGAACTAGGTAGATGGTAGCAACATTTGCTAAGATAAGGCATGTAGGATAAAATCTGGGGAAAGAAGATACCTTCAGATCAGGACAAGGTAATTTGAGGTGCCATTTTGAACACCCAAGAGGAGATGCCGACTAGGTGTGTTTCTGGAATTCAGAAGAAAGATCTATGCTGGAACCACAGAAAAATAAATCATCAGAATACAGATGTGCATTTGAAGCACAGAGAGTGCATGAAGTCACCCACCTGGTGCAAGCTCAGGAACAAGGGCCTGGAGATAGCCAGAGGAAGAACCCACAAAGACTAAGGAATGACCAGAAAAACAGGAGGAAAACGGGGTGAGTGTGGTGTCAGAGAAGTTTAAGAGAAGGCTGCTTTTTAAAGGCGAATAAAGTCGTTAATTTGAAATGTTAGTTAAAAGGAGTGAAAAAAAATTCCAAACACATGGAGACTAATAGTTTGCAAAAAAGCCATTGTTGACTCTGGAAGTTTTAGTGAAGTTGAGTTGTGGATGGCTTTTGAAGTGAAGACAATTTGGGGAACCCTTGGAGTTTGGTGATGTTGGGTAAATCATATAGTGGGTAGAGGTAAAAGTGTGACTGACGGTTTTTCAAAGATGGGAGAATCTTACATCCACTCAAATATTGGTGTGAATGAGTCAGAATAGAGGAAAAAAGAAGAGAAAGGGAAAAAGCAAACGATTAAATTCTATAAAGGGGATCAGTCTTTGCCAATAAATGGCTCCTCCCCTTTAAGATGTGGGATAGAAATTGGGTTCTGCTAGGGCTTTCCAAGTCGCCCTCTCTTAGGATGTACATTACCCAGCACTGTATATCTTCAGCATTGTATCTGGAAGAAAACCCTCTATATTTCCAATACATGGTTTGAAGTTCTCTCATTCTAAGGCCACTGAGATAGAATTTGAGTGCGGAGGTCAACACTTGTGATCATATTTGTGTTTCTTCCCCAACCAACCAGATTTCCTCAATAAAGCCAAACTGTGTTTAAATTTTGTGTACCTTATGTAAGAATCAACATGAACCATCTGTGATTCTCTGCAAATGTACTATCTCTAGCTTTTGTTAAATGTTGTTTTACCTTTGCAGTCCTGTTTCAGATAAACCTTTACAAAAGTATCCTACTTTACCATTCCATATGGATGCCTGCTATTGAGTCAGTAATTTCCCCCTAGTTGGATGTAGTCTGACCACTAGTTAGCAGTGATTGATGTTGTTTGAGACTTTGCTTTTTTACATCTGTACCCTGAACCTGGGACAAATTGCAGGCTCTGGTTGGGGAAAGAACTGTACTATGCCTTAAAAAAAAAAAAAATGCCACCAAGCAATTAGATCCACATTGCTTGAAATGACTCAACATATCATTTTAGGTGATTGGCAAATCATCACCTAATTTGTACTCTGGCTCTATTATCTTTACTGTTCTTTACATGGGTTCACCTTTAAGGGAATAAAACCTTTGACATGGTTTTAATATTGACAGTCCAGCATTCTAGACCAAATCTATTTGATAGAGCTTTCTGCAATGATGGGCATATTCTATCTGCACTGTCCCATTTGGTAGCCAGTAGTTCCGTGTGATTACTTAGCACTTGCAATGTGCTTAATGTGACTGAGAAAGTACATTTTATTTTAATGAACTCAAATTTAGATACCCACAATGAGTCTTGGTAACCCTATTTTTGCATGTGATGTCACAAATTGTTCAGTAAACATGGTAATAGTATTCAAAGACTTGAAATTCAATAAAATGTTAGCTGCTAAACACTTGCTAAAAAAGCTAATGACTACCATTGTTCATTTAATTTTGGCTTGCTAAGTTTCCAGTCATCCCCTCAATTTTGTGAACCTGATTTAATGGACTTCAATTTACTGGACAAAATTCTGGTCCATATGTCATATGTGAAAAGTAACACTCTGTTAATTTTAAAATTCTTTTTAACCAAGATCTGCTTAAAATTAAATTAACGGATTCTTCTATTATTAATTCACTGTTAATTTTTATTTTTTGGTAATCTTTGAAGATATTTTTTCTATTGATTTTTTTAAAAGAAAAATATTTTTATTAATTTCAAAGTGGAGGGAGAGGGAGAGATAGAAACATTGATGAGAGAGAACCACTGATAAGTTGCCTCCTGCACGACCCACACTGGGGATTGAGCCCGCAAACCGGGCATATGCCCTGATTGGGAATCAAATTGTGACTTCCTGGTTCATAAGTTGACTCTCAACCACTGAGCGACGCCAGCTGGGTTCACTGTTATTTTTAACAAATTTTAGGGAATAGGCCATATGTTGGAACACTAGTAATTTTGCCAACATAAATATTACACATGTACAACTATATTCTACATATTTAACTGATGTTCTAACATACATTAAGCCACACCCCAGTTATGTGCATTTATTTACTCCTGGTAACTGGTGAATGCATGCATTTACTAGACCTATTCAATATAAATTTAAAATTACTGCAATACATATAGAAAACTTTACCGTGATACTTAACTTTTCATACAAACTTAATTTTAATTACACAAATGTGTTTACACAAGTAAAAATAGGTAAGCTAATTAATGTTTTAACATATACATTTGGAAAACCTACTTTATTATAAAACAGACTAACAGATACCTTGCCTGAATTATTAGTCTGTTAGATTGAGGTTTTACTGTACTGTCAACAATAAAAAATAAATGAAAAAATAATATTTAGTTGTAAAATGATCCTACAGCGTATTATTTGCATTTTAAAAATCCCAATGTATTTTCCTCATTTTGAACTGTTTGTTACTCATATGCATCACAGATAAAGGTCTGAAAAGATACGGTGCAAAGGACAATAGGACCAGGATGAGGGGTACTGTGCAAATGGGATTTACCTTTGTCATAATGTTTTAAAATTTTTACAGGGAAAATGTGTCTAGCCCTAGACGGTTTGGCTCCGTGGATAGAGCATCAGCCTCAGACTGAATGGTCCTGGTTTCGATTCCAGTCAAGGGCACGTACTTCAGTTGCAGGTTTCCCGCCATGGTTCGAATGCGTGCAGGAGGCAACCAACTGATGTCTCTCTCATACTGGTGTTTCTCTCTGTCTCTCCCTCTCCCTTCCACTCTTTCTAAAAATCAATTGAAAAATATCCTCGGGTAAGGATTAACAAAAAGAAAATGTGTCTATTACTTAGGTAAGTGAAGGTTAACATAAAAATGAAGGGAAGTGGCCAAGTGAAAAAAGGTCACAAAATCAACAGATACTGACTGCTTTACTCTGTGCCAGTCTGTGTGGTGCTGGGTCTACAGTAGCAAACAAGACAGGAGAACTACAGAGTAACAAATGAATATAGAGTGTGTCAGGCAGTGAGAAGCTATAAGGAAAAGGAAAGTTTGCAGAGCATGTGGAAAACTGAACCCTCATACATTGCTGGTGGGAATATAAAAGAATGCAGCTGCTTGGAAAACAGTTTGACAGTATTTCAAAAAGTTAAACAGAATTATTATGTGACCCACTGCCATTCCACCTCCAGTTATACACCCAAGAGAATAAACATATTCATACAAAAACTTGTATAAGAATGTCCATACCAGCACTATTCATAATAGCCAAAATGCCCAGCAATTGATACATTATTAATAAAAATGTGCTATGTGATAGAACAGAATATTATTCAACCATAGAAAGTGACAAAGTACTGATACATGTTATAGAATGGATGAATCTTGAAAACATTATGCTGGAACAAACCAGACACAAAAGACCAAATTATTGTGTAATTCCATTCCATGAAATATCCATTTATATGAAAATGTCCACATCAGACACATTTTTAGAGACAGAAAATACATTAGTGGTTTCTGGGGTGGGGAGGGATGAGGAATGACTATTAAATGGGTGCAGTTTATCTTTGTAGTGATGAAAATTTTTTTTTGGAATTCTGGTGATGGATGCATAAGTCTTGAGTATACTAAAAACCACTGAAATGGTATACTTTAAGAGGGTGACTTTTTTCTCAATTTTTAAATGTTAAAAAAAAAGTAAAGCAGGATAAAGGGAAAGAGGGGAGGGGGATTTCATATGTTGGACAAGGTATTCAGGAACGACCTTATTTTAAGCAGAGATCCAAACATAAAGAGAAGCTACCCAGGTAAAATCGGGAAGAGGGTATTTGTAGGGGAGGAGGAACATTCCAGGAGGAACAAGTGGGAAGACTCTTAGGTAGATGCACACTTGTTCTGAAAGAACAGCAAGGAGGCCAGCAGCGTGGCTGAGTGCAGCAGGATGAGGGGGAGGCTGTGGGATGACAGGGTCCAGACTTCAGGCTTGTGGACACAGTAAGAACTAGACTTATTCTAAATCACAGAAAATTACCAGAGGCAGGAGCAACACGATTTGATGCACATTTTAAAAGGTTCACCTTGGCTGCTGGATGGAGGATAAACGGAGGGAGCAAGAGAAGGGGAGTTATCAGGAGGCCACTAGAGTAGTCCAGGCAAGAGCAATGGCTTAGGTTATACAGTTATAAGTTTCAACATGTATCAAATCACTACGATGTATATTTGCAATGCCTTATAATTTCATGTCAATTACACTTTGATAAATCTGAAAAAATCAGATTGAAGCCCTGGCTGGTGTGGCTCAGTGGTTGGAGCGTTGGTCCATGAACTGAAGGGTTGTGGGTTCAATTCCCAGTGAAGGGAATGTATCTAGGTTGCAGGCTCTACCCCAGGCCCTGGATGAGGTACATTTGGGAGACAACCAAGTGATGTCTCTCTCTCAAAACGATGTTTCTCAAGAGCGCACACACGCACTCTCTCTCTCCCCCCTTATTTCTCCTGCCCTTCCACACTCTAAAAACCCTTGAATGAGAATTAAGGGAAAAAAAGTGGATTCAAAATATACTCTTAGGGTCAAAAGAATTGGCCAATGAATCAGATATGGAGCACAGGAGAAAGAGAGGAGTTAAGGATGACCCTAAGGCTTTTGGTCTGACCAAAGAAGTGAGTGAAGGAGCCAGCCATTTACTGAGATGGGAAAACCTCAAAGAAGGCTGGGCAGGGAAATGAGAGTTCAGTTAATTTTAAATTTGAGGTGCCTAATAATCTAGGTGCATATACAAGCCTGGAATTCAGTAAAATGGTCAAGCTGGAAGTATAAATTTGAGAGCCATGACTAAAGATTTTGAAGTCAAATAGAGTTCTCTCTAGACTAAGGATTGAGCCCTGAAGCATTCATAATATTTAGATACTTGAAAATATTTTTGACATAATTTATGCCCATTGAGGGGCAGCAACCTGTTATATAATCTGATAGATAAAAGACTCTTCAAACGAAGACTTCTCTTAGGATCAGAGGTGTCTTATCTTAGGTTTTGAAAGATTCCCTCCTCTATTTCTTTGGTGTTAGTTGATGGAGCATGAACCTACTGACCTACCAGATAATATCAGGTTATTTATTTACAAACTATGCTACCTTGAGGATCTCAAGTCACAAATTTCCAGACACCACACTAAGATGACAATCCAGACCTGTAATTTAGTTTGGGTTATATTTTATCCTGTAATTTTTAGCTTCCATATTCAAACTATTGGGTATGCACATATATGGTCAGAAAGAGTCCTTGTTATGGATAATTTAGAGATACATGAGTATTTTGGTGAGTGGGGGTTTGGGAGTCTATTTAGCTCAGCTTGCAAAAAGTCCAAGCAAAATAATCTAAGGCAGTGATACTCATGCAATGGGTACTACAAGTTGTGCAGCTAATGTAGCACATTCAAATATTCAAGCACTGAAGGCAACCTGTAGTATAAACACCAATAATTTCTGCCTTTATGGTCTGAAAAGCTTTCTCATCTGAGAAATGGAAATAATACCTGCTGTATTTCATAGGGATTAAATGAACCAAGGTGCTCTGTACACTGTATTATGCAATGCAGTCATACTACTATTTTCTTTATATGGAATAACCTGCCAGGAAAGCTTTTAAAGACCTACAATAGCTCTGGACAGTGTGGCTCAGTTGGCTGGGCATCATCCCGTGCACCAAAAGATTTGACGGTTTGATTCACAGTCAGGGCACATGCCTGTATTTCAGGTTCAATCCCTGGTAGGGGGAGTGCAGGAGGCAGCTGATGAGTGTTTCACTCTCTCATAGATGTTTCTTTCCTTCTGCCTTCTCTCTCTCTAAAAGTAAAAAAAAAATTTAATTAAAAATAAAAAAATTTAAAAAACTATAATAGGTGGTCAAATCTCAGATGCCATGAAGAATTTAAAAATCCAGCTAAAGACATAATATCAGCCAGGCCAGTGTAGTTCAGTGGTTGAGACTTGACCCATGCACCAAGTGGTCAACCAATTTGATTTCCAATCAAGGCACATGCCTGGGTTGTGGGCTTAATCCCCAACATGGGTTGTGCTGAAGGCAGTCAGTCAATGTTTCTCTTCGATGTTTCTATCACTATCCCTCTGCCTTCCTCTCTAATATAAACAAAAACACTTATATTTGTCCTTTTAAAATATATTTTTATTGATTTCAGAAAGGGAGAGGAAGACAGGACAAAAGCATTAGTGATGACAGAGAATCATCTATTGGCTGCCTCCTGCACGCCCCACAATGGGGATCGAGCCCGCAACCCTGGCACATGCCCTGACAGGGAATAGAACCATGACCTCCTGGTTCATAGGTCATTACCATGCACTGAGCCACTCTGGTTGGGCTCAATAAAAACATTTAAAAAGACAAAACAGTCCAGCTCGTGTGGGTCAGTGGTGAACATCAATCAACCCAGGCACCAAGAGATCGCTGGTTCGATTCCTAATCAGGGCACATGCCCAGGTTGTAGGCTCAATCCCCAGTAGGAGGCAACTGATTGATGTTTCCCTTTCATCAATGATTCTCTCTCCCTACTCCTATCCTCACTTTAAAATATCAGTAAAAATATTTTTTAAAA